TGCACTGTGTTGTAGTAAGCTGGATGATTTTTTGCTTGTGAGATAAACTCCATCTCCCCCTCCCGGCCCCGCCCTGTAATACTTATGGAAATTTTAATTGGTTCTGTTTGGGTTCTTTGTTTTATTACCTTATATTACCTTATTTTAAACAAAATTAGGATTTTTATTTTTTATGATTTTTCAATAAAATTAAGCTATACTGTGTTGTGTTAGCCAAGTTGCTGTGTTGTGTGTACGCTTCTGTGGTCTAAACATTCATACTTCATTTTGTAATAAAAGGTGTCATTAATATTGGATTTAACTTTCCTTGAACTGACTGTGTTATCTGATCTTAAAGCACACCCTGGTTATGGATTCACTGAATACACACATCTAAAGAGTTTCTTGTCAGAGTAGAAGTATGATAAACTGAGAACAATACAATGTTACTGTTTAGTGAAAAGATGAGTCAGTACGCCTTGGATCTCTTGAAAATATTTGTGATATCCTATTATACTGAAGTGCATGATGCACTTCATCCTCTACCTTTTTCCAGTCACCATTGAATCTTTAATGCATACTGTGGTCTCAGTAAAAAGCACTGAATACAAACCTGAGAATTTGTTTGTAAATGTTTTTGATTTGTGGTGTTTAAAAATGGGTCATAAAAGCACTTACTGTTTCTGAAAGCATCTAGAGGTGGGTTCAGTTTCAGCAGATGGATGGGTGAGCTTGCTTCTGAGTGATATGAGTCTGTCCCTTCCCCTGAAGTTGATGGGATTCTGTGTTCTTACAACATTTTAGGATTGTTTTAAGGAAGTGATAGATTAAAAGGATGTTTTTTCTTACAGTATTTTGTTTACAAAGGAAAACTAACTGGTTAGCAGTATTCTCTTCAATGTTTGCTGTACTATGAAGGAATATTTTGATACTTTAACTGATTTATTTCCCAAAATATGTGAAACTGGGGGAAAGAAGTGTATGCATTTCCTGGACATGCTGAGTTCACCAAAACTAATGCTTAACTGTCTTTGGAGTGGAGTGGCTTGAAGGCTGTAAAGTGGACATTTAAAGAAATTCAGAATAACTATCCACTTCACATTCAGGAAGGGTGTATGATGCATTTTGTATATGATTTTGAAAGCAAACCTGCTTGAGATCTGGGTCATAATGATTAGAAATTGGAAGAGGAGACTTCTGAGTAGGGAAATGTCAGTGTAAGACCCAGTAATGCCGTAGTGTATTATTGTCCCTACTGTACCCTAATGTTTAAGTTTCTGAACTAAAAAAATTTGTCTCCTAAAAAAAAAAAAAATTTAAGCTCCTAAAAAAAATTCCCTGTTTAGTTCATTGCAAGGCTGCTGGGAGTGAAATTCAGAAAAGGCTTGGTGCTTCTCAAGAGTGGGGAGGAGGCTTGCACTAACCAGAAGGAAATACCGCAGAACGAGCCATACATGTTAAACTGTGCCCCTCTTTGGCCTTTATACAAGAACAAAACTCACAAAACTCAATTCTTCTGTTTTTACATGCCAAATATTATGTTTACACCATGAATGAAGATACCCATGAGCCAGTTTCAGAAGCAGAAGCACGTGTGGTGAGGTCTGTGTAAGCCAGTGTGGGTTTGGCAGCTGCGTTGGCATATACCAGCAGTACTGCAGATGCAAGGTTTCCTGTGTTAGAGACTCAGCTCTCTTGTGCCATATGAAAATAGTGCAGGGCATACACAGGCCAGTATTTTCCCTTGCTTGATCCCAGTTTCACCCAGTCTGAAAGTGGCCTTAGGAACTAATGTATTTCACGTGTCACTGAGGTAGGTGGTAGACACAGCCTTGTGTTGGGTCACATCGTCTGGTTGAGGGAGCCCATATAGGTGTGCGCTGAGACAGAGAAAGGTCCTCCAGAAACGTGAGCCAGTACTGAGCAAAACAACCAATTTCTGTATCTTGCCTCAGGGTTTTAAGGTTTTGACTCAGTGCTGCACCTTAGCAGGTGTGCTCTAGCTTATGGATTGTAGGCTTTTGGATACCAGCTGCTCATCATATGAAGAGCAGCTGGTATCATCATTAGAAACTTCTTGGCTTTGCTAAGCACTAGAGGTCTCCATTCTGCTTTCAGTCATGGACTGAATTGTCTTTTTTTGGAATAAAACCTGTTTATTTTTTTTAAAATCAAATGACTGCTAATTATCCTGTTATTGCATACATAGAATTTCTGTCCCGTGCATGATCAGAAGTCAGACATGAATCTTATTCTTTGTACTTAATTTCATGTTTTCAGTCAGCGTCAGGTATAGTTTGGGTGGACCTGCTGCAGAAGAAATCTTATTGTACCCAACTTGTGATTTCTTATTGAAATGGCAGGAAGACAGGTGAGAAACTGAGCCTGTCACACTGGACTCAGTTCTGGTGTAATGTGAAGCCAAACTATAGCTGTTTGAAAAATGCATTTTTTAAATTTTACATGCTGTGAAGCTTTCGATTACTTGAGAAGTTAATTGGAGGGTTTAAAAAAATGTTGCATTTGGATTTAGTGTTCTGAATCTTTGGAAGAGCTAGGCCTCAGCAGAGCAGGAGTTGTGGTTCAGTATTGACACAAAGATACCGATATAGATATTCATAAATTTTTATTGTGCAATAAACCAGATGGCAAGAAAACAATGTGTTTCAGAGTTCTTTTAAGAATACAATTTTGAGTATTCAATTTTATTCAGAATTGCAGTTTGGCTTTTTGTTCCTCAGAGTGGATGTTTCACTTGTGAGATTTGGTTACGCAAGTCACATTGTATTCTTGCAGTCTGTTTTATGCTTAAAATGTAACATGACATGATTGTTAAAAACTGTAATAAAATATTGGAACAGCCTAAGGAATTCTCTTTTGCTAACTGGTTTTCTGGAATGGTAACTGTTCCAGAAAAAAAAAAATCAAATATACAGCTAATTACAGAAAAGCTGTGGCTAGCATGCTGCTCTCTCTCTTTTCCCATGACCTTCTAATTTTACAATTTTTGTGTGTGTGTCTGACCAATTAAAATATGACGGCAGAGCAAAATAACATAGTCCAAATGCCCAGCAGCTGGGATATAGATGTAATAATCCATGTCCTTGAATCATAGGAAATAGGGGACAAATTGCAGATAATTTAGTCACTCTACTTCTGCTATGCACAGCTTTTGCTCTAAGTACATCTGTTAAATTTACACCTCATTTAATACATTGATGTATTACTAAAATTACAGTGGTGTTTAGTTTTCTCAGTTTGTCTTTTCTGTTACAGAAGTAAAATTGATCCTGTCTGGGTCAGAAAGAAGATTTAGATTACCTCTTAAGAGACAGACAGTTCTGTGATTTCACAGTTTTACTGATCTTTCTGTACCACATTTTGCCATTGGATGATAGTGTTTTGCTCTGTGTGGTGTTTTATATAGATATCTCTTTCCATGTATTAGAAAGTAAAAGTGCTTTTCAGATTCTGAGAAAGTAGTTCAGATATTTCTCCTGTCACACGAATCTTTTGAATCTTTTCTCTCCCTTCACCCTTCCCTGGTAGCTCATGCATATCAGAACTCTTTGGGCGTGAGAAGTTGGTTCATATGTCTGTTCTTATTCTGTAAAAGAATGAACTAAGGAGCTGTAATTTAGAGCTCATAAAGGGCTCAACACTCTGATTGCATTTCCCTTTGTTTTATTGTTAAGTAGTGTGAAAGGGGGAGGGAAGACAACTAGTTCTTTTCTTCTGAGAGTACAAAAATTTTGGACTCACTTTTTTGTCTTGTTCTACCACTGTATGCTTATTTGAGGTCAGAAATCTTCTAAGAATGGACAGGACTCATGTATGAGGGCAGGATTTGCCAACAGAGATAAATAAAATCACTAATAGCAGTACTGTTACGTGATAAGGAACCTATTCTTTTTCTGTGTCAAAATTCATGAAGCCTCAGAAAATCTTCCGACACTGCTGTGAAAAGTGGCAGAATTAGGCATTGGGATGATTTTCTAGGTATCTTGATTTAAGATGTTGTATAGTTCCAAATGTTTTGAAACAGCATCAATTATTCTTTTTTATTATTCTTAAAAATTATTAATAAGCAGTATAGTGTGAACATGCTGTTCTCAATGGTTAGCATCATTGGGGAGCATGCTGTTTGCTCTGTGACTTGATAAGCAGTGTTCTGCCACTGCACTTTTTCTTCATTATTGTATGGACAACTCTTGTCCAAGTTCTTTTAAGTTTCACCTAAAGTTCATGTGAACATTTGATAAGTGACTGATGCAGAGTGGTTGTATCAGAGTGCCTAAAGACAGCTAGGAGAGTTCTGCTTCAGAGATGCCATAGATCTTTAATGCTGTATGTTGATGAAAAGATCAAAGATATATGTCTAATTGGTTTCAAACCTAAGCAAAACTGAAACTGAAATATAAGCATTTAAGTATGTGTTCTAGAGCATAGTGCTGCTTGATATTGAATACTTTCAGATGTAAATGCTGCGTTCCCTGTGATTTCACTGGTAAGTGTGGTTGCTCAGTATTTCACAGAGTGAATTCAAACAGAGGAACAAGCTCAATTATCTGAAAGTTTTCTTGTATATTGTTTTTGAGCAGTTTAGTGAAATTGAAGTCTGTGAAAGCAATAGGTGTTGTAGATTGTCAAGACCTCTCAGATATGTGTGCTGCTGTTTGATATCTGAATAGGCCTAGAACTGTCCTCACAGAAACCACCTACTATGTATGCAGAAGAAAGTCTGAAAAATGAACATTTCAGATCTGTATGGGTATTTGCAGTAGATATGAAGGACTTAAGATTTTTTTTTGTAAATTGTCCCTCCATGTGTACTTATACAGTCTTCCATTGCTACGTTAGTGTTGAAAGTGTCATACAGACTGGGTAGTATGACATGCATTATGAGATGTAGAAAGATAAAGAAGGGAAAAAGTGTATTTTAAAGCTTTTTTTGACTACAGCTAACTCATATACATTAATATTAATAACATTTAGGTTTCTCTTTGTGTTTTGTTCCACAGGCAGCAGGAGCAATTCGTCCTCTAGTTTCTACTGTTGTTGCCTCTGCTGCAGATGGCTGTTTAGACCACTCATTGGAACGTGCCAGGTACAGAGCGAGTGAAATGCCTCAAGCTTTCTTGTTTGATGTAATCTATGAAGCATATCAACAGGTAAGATATTAGGACTTTCTAAGACTTTTTTCAATTTAATTCAGTTAAAAAGAAAGATAACTTTATTTCTCTTTTTTCAAAAACAGAGATTCAGCATCTATTTCAGATCACATCAAACTATGCATATTACTTCTCAGTCTTTTGAAAAAGCCTTATCATTCTAATCTGTTGAAGTTTTTTTCATATCAAACTGCCAAATACAAGAGGGGTTGATGGATCTAAACAGTTGGAAAGACGTATTTGCCATAATTTTTATTGTGCATTAAGTAGATTACTTAAAGGAGTGGGTTAATGTGTTTAAAATTACGTATATATTAAGTATGTATTGTTGACTGAGAGTATCAAAGAGTTTTGGATGCACAATGTACTAATGACATTATATAATAATTTAATGGGATACAGGCTGATCTAAAATATTGGGATAATATTAATTTGCTATATCTAGGTAAATGTTTAATTTGTTTCTTGTTGCATGTGTATTCTACATAGTCTGATTAGTGGTTGAAAATGATGTTTACATAGTCTCTGTTGCAATTCTCCATTTTTTTCCTAATATATTGGTTTAATTGCTTTAATTCCTTTATTAGGAAAATAAAAATTGTAGGTGGTGTATTAAACCTGACTCTTTTCCCTTTTTCTGCCCTGAAGACTGCTTTCATTTGCCGCACCCTACATTCATGTTTTTCTGGAAGCACTCCAGCCTTTCGTCTCAGCATTCTACTTCCTTTTCATTCATCACCTTGTGGAAATTGCTTGTCCTCTAGGTATCTTCCAGCCTGACTGGAAGCAGAGCATTTCTTCATTTGTCACTTGGAAGGAATTATTTTTCACATTAATGCTGGCAGTCATGCTTCCCATCAGTCTTTCATTTCTAAACAAGTCCAGATTTCTTATACTCACTTTCAGAGAGTACAAAGCTTCGAAGTCACCAACAACAGAACAAATGTGAGGACAGGCAATGAAGAAGAAATTGTTACTTAATTGTTCAGTAATTGTTTTACTTGGAAATGTTGGCACAAACTCCACGTCATACCCCTTATGCTTGGTACTTGAAGCTATTAGATGCTGTAGATGAAGGACCAAATTAGGAGCTACTTGTGCACTTGGACTGGCTCCAACGTTTTTATTTCTGATATGAAGCAGGGGGATGTTCTTGGTGTATATCATGACAACAGCTAATACTTCTGGAGACTCTACCTTGAACGTAGTGGGTATACTCATGATAAAGGCAGCCTAGATGTGCACAGAACGCATCTCAAGAGAAAACAGCTACCATTGGTAGCTCTTTCTTTCTTGTTGATGTGTATCTCTTTTGGCAAATTGTGTGTTTATGTGCTGTTTCTCAAAACACCCCACCTAAACAACCCCCCATTTTTTCTACTGTGTTTGTTTATAATTTTCAGATACAGTAGAGCTGGCAAATACATAAAAAGCTCTTGCCATAAATGCCTCACTCAAAAGACAACTATATTTGCAGTCCCCATGCTCCTCTAAGTAGTGTTCTTTTCTCACAGATGCATTCCAGCAGCCTTCTTTTTTGTATCCCTGCTCTTTCAAGAAAAAAGCCACCAAAGTTGTGAGAAGCAACCAAAGCTATGGTTCCTTGTCCCCAGTTCCCTTTGCTTTGGCTAAATTCTGGTCATTTAAATGCTATGTGCCTTGGAGCCCTGGGAAGTGTAACACTTCACTAAAACCTCTCAACTCATATTGTTTTCTAATTATTTATGTTTCAATGGTGTCTAGCTGTCCAAGTCAAGGATTAAGACCCTATTGTTCTGAGAACTGTACAAACAAATAAAAAAAGATAGATAATTGTTGTCCTGAAAAACAGTCAAGCTACTGTAGGACGAATTTTTGTAGGAATGGATGCAGCTTATGATGCTTCCTAAATATTAACATATCCATAATTAATTCCCACAACAACCTGGTGAAGGCAAGTGTTATTGTACAGATCAACAAAAAAGAGAAAATGATTTTGTTACTAATGTTGCAAGTCATTCACAAAGCTGGGAATGGCATTCATTTTGACTGACTGGGCATGAGATCATGATTCCACTCCTGTGTATTTTATACAGTTGTGACCTTTTTGCAACAACAGTATAAGGAAAAACAACAGTCAAATATGTATTCCTTAGAGAGAAACTGTCCATTTGAATTATTGCTTTAGGTAACATAAGCTTTTCAGTTACAATGTGGGTAATGTGGAATACTGCTTTTAAACTCCATCTCTATTTAAATACATCATCTGATGTGAGTAGGTAGGTTTAGAGTGTTTACTTCCAGAAGTGTTCTCTTTCACGAACATAAGATCACTGAGTATATTGACCACAAAGTTGCAAAATTCAGTTAAAATTCAGTTCTCTGATCCTTACAGGTTTACCATCTATTTTGTCTCTTCTTGTCTGGTACCAATCTGGGCAGACCAGACTAGAGCTGCTTCTCCTTTTGTTGCTGTTTTAAATTTATTTAGAACTAGAAATTTAGCGCTATTAAAATATGAAAAAATGCTTTTGTATGATCTTTACCAAATTAAGTCATTTCCTTAGAAAACATTTTCCATTTCTTGCTCAAATGAAAAAAATAAATGATAGTAATGATTTGGGGAAGAATACATACCCTTTTGAATCTACTTCAAATAATTTTTTGTACAAATACCGAAGACTGGTTTACAAAATTATCTTGAAATATATGTGTGTTACAGTAAATCCCCTTTACATTTGGCACCAAAAATCTAGCACGGATTTTGAAGACATTCAGCCAGGTTGTTCACATGCATTTTGTTGTGATCTATTTCATTTTTGTGTGCTGGATCTCAATTTACTTTTCACTCTCACATCTTTATTGGCTACAACATACATATTCTAAACAGATCTTTTTCAGATGTATGTTACTTTCTGATTTAACTGCAATGATGTCAAGATTTCTGGCATCATAACTATTCTTCTCAGCTTTATAGTAGTGCTGTTGAAACCTTTTAAATTTTGTTGCTCAAAAATCACATGCATTCTGTTGTCTTTGTAATGGCTTTGAGAGATCATTAAAAAAAACATTCTTCATCGCTTTTTGGTGAGGTTCTGGATACTGTTAGGTTTTCTGATGGTTAATTTTGAAATTTTTTTTAACCATACTGAAACCATAGTATAGTTTTATGAAAATATTTCCTTAAAATAATCTCAGGCTTTTTCAGTTAGTATGAGTTTTAACATCAGTGGTAAAAGCAACCTTTTTTTTTTTTTTATAATGTCTGCATATATGCTAGCGAGGAAAAAAAAAGATATTCAGATGTCCTATATTTTCACTTTTTTATTTGGGGAATGCAAGCAACTTGAGAAGCATTATTGTTTCATGGTGAAAGGCCTTTTTTGATGAGGCGGGTAAATGGAGGTGCAACAGGGAAGGGAAAACTCTTTTGTGTTCTTTTACCTCAGATGAAAATTGCTCCAATGCAACAGGATCAGAAGAACAGTTTAGGAAATATCTACTCCTTCTGCTCCAGAGCAATGATATTGATTTTAACATTTTATAAGGTTTCTGCCACTTTTAACTCAGGATATGTCTTGTACTGGACGTCACATAAGACAGACTAAAAATGTTTAAAGTCCATATTGAAATTAAGCAGCTGTTCAGAGCCCACAACAGCCAGTGGGGCTAAAATAATATCTTGATCTTAAAAGGCCTCACTACTCTGACTTATGTGTCATTAGATAGAGTACTTGACTGTAATAAATTATCAGGCATAGTCTGATTTTGGCAGATACAGGCACCTGATTGTATGTAACACTGCTTAACAATTTTTATTGCAAATCTCTGTGTTCAGCTTAGGAGATATAGCAGTGCTTTCATGCCCTTCAGTTTGTAAAATTTATAAAATTTATGAAAGTTACAGCTTTTATTTGTATGATGCATATGTGACCCAAGGTGGAAAAGTGACAGATGCAAACAGCTGCAGGGGGAGAAAGAACTGTATTTATACTGTGTGTGGTGTCTCACAAGCAGGAGGCTTTACCTTAGCCAGGGGTTTTCCTTGGGATTTTGAGTAGAAGGATATAGCAGTTTGTTAAGCAGATAAATGTACTGTTAGTACTCTTAGTTCTGGTATGTCCTAATTTGTGAGTTCTCATTTCCTGCACGACATAATGATCCACAGTAAATATTAGTAGTGGACAAGTTAAATTTTTTAAAATAAAAAATCCAAATCTCTTGTAACTAGTAAAACCTGTGGAAAAGTTATAAAAAATGGCAGAATCCATGATTTACTTCAATTCTTATATACCTGGAACAAAATCAGCCAGTTGGATGTTTTCATGTTATTTTTATTTTATTATGTTAATAATTAAGTTCCTGATCTTTTAAAATACATATTTCTTTTCTATTCTTATCAACCCTAAGGGAAATCAGGGAAGTTAAAAGTGTTAATTGAAAATCCACCTCTTCCAAAGATAGTAAATAAGGGATAGATTCCTTAGACCAGACTTGTTCATTTTTGCTTAAGATAGTTTCATGTTTCTGTTTAGCTTTTTAATTTAAATAGGAACAAATGTGAAGTATGATCCTACACGGGTGGGGAAGACTTCACTTACCAGAAGTCAAGTGTTCCCCGGAGCAGTATGTTTTTAAGGAATTAGAGTATCAGGAAGTCAGGTAGACTACTTTTTTCCTTTAGTCAAAGTAGGCCGAGACTGATTTCTGTAATACTTGTTTCTGACATATTGTGAAATGCACAGAGATTTCAGAGATCTTTTTTCTTTAACACAGAGCATCTTGTTGTGTCATGTCACATCACCATACAAAGTAACACAACCACAATATATAAAGGCTGAAATACCCAGGCTTAAAGCACTGAGCATTTGAATGGTATCTGCTAAAGCAGGGAACGTAGTAGAAACATCTAAAAAGCTTTACCTTTCATGATTTGGCAGAGAAACAACTGAAAATGGAAGCAGGAGAGGAGTGATATGTAGAAGATACTGACCAGCTTCTATGTCAGAGATGTAAATAAA